TGGAGTCACTTTGTCCTTTTTCCTGTGTGTTTCTCTTTCACTCACTCAGCCGCTGACAGACAGGAAGTGGGTCACATGAACGCCAGCAGGAATGTGTTGGACTTCTCACAAGATCGAGAAGCTCTTTTGACGCTCGACAGGTTCAAAGTGAAAACTGGAGAAATGGTATTTTCTGTGGAAGGGCGGCTTGACGGCTGAGTGCTGAAACTGAACTATAACCATTTGAATGCTCAAAACAAAAGCTAAAGTTAGCGAAACTGAAATGAAATCAAATGAATTAGCGATCCACTCAGACTGCACCAGTGGGCTCTGGCTGCGGGCTGGGCCTCAGGGGTGTTGGTGGGTGGGAGCAGGAATCAGTGTTTGTTTACGCCTGCAGCTCTTCCAGGGAAAACCAGATAGACTGTTAATTTTCTATTTTAGGAAAAAGGGAAAATACCCTGAGTAGTTAGAAGTAAAAATGTAAGAAATAATAACACTCTGACCCAAAAAACTGGACTAAGAGTCCAGKATGATCAGATCACTGAGGCTAAAGTCAAATATGTTTAATAAACAAGACTCTGAAATTTGATATTTTCAGGCAAATCAGCTAAACTTTTAAGTTGAATAAAAAAGTTATTTAGTCAAATTTCTTCAAAGCATTACCAAAGAGGATCTGTATAATTCCTGGATTTGTTGTAGTGATTGTGGGCATGTTTCTACTAACAATGAGGTCATTATTAGTGTTTGAAACAATGGAGACATGCATCACGTGTGTCTGACAGGTTGTGCTGGCAGCAGGAGACGTCAGCTCCAATTATGCCTTCAACTAAAGTTTCAGCAAGGGAATGTTTCATTCCAAACACCTTGTTTAATGCGGGATTTTCAGTCACACTCAGTTCAGTTCAAAAGTGGCTGTAGAAAAAGTGATAAAGGTCAAGCATTCCTAGAGAGAAATGTTTATGGGAAATTCTGCATGTTTTTAGGCCATCTGTTAGTGTATGTGTTGAGAATAACTCTCAGCATCTACCACATCAAACTTGACCTCAATTTCTCTAAAATCGACTGACTTACAGCTCTGTTTGTGCTCCCTCACAGCTTTGGTGGTTATCTTGAATTGGATTGACTCTAAAAGTGCACCAGGTGTAGATGCACAATCAGGGCCGGCCCTAGCAAATTTGTTGCATTAGGCAAGATTTCAGGTGGCACCCCTTGTGCAGTTTTCTAAATCTCGCCGCCAATTACATACGCTCACATGCACAAATAAATAGTTCTGTCTTAGATATTATTATTTTTTATCTTTGGAAAACAGGTTGTTCAATTAAAATAGCTAATAATCAGAGTTCCACAAGTGGTGCGCAGGTGTGCATGCGCGATCAAAAAAGAAAAAAGCGCACCAGATGGAATGTCATGAAGCTCCCTTGCGTACCAAAGATTGTACATGATTGTCTGTCACAACATCAAAAAATAAAAATTAAAAAAATAAAAATAAAAAAGAATCCGGCCGCACTGGTGTGAATGGATTGTTGTTCAGTATGCAACAACGAGACCCTGATATAAGGATTAAAAGGACACTGCCTTCAACAAATCAGACGAAGTCCAGAGCCGTTTTGTCCAATCAGAGCAGAACAGGGCGGGACTTTCAGTGAGAGCAAGTTTGGTTGAAGCAGCGGCCCGGCTCGACTGGAGTTGCTGCAGCGATCACTCCTGACATCTCCTCCTCCGCTCCTCCTGCACTTTGCTCCTGAACTCCAGAGACTTTGGTCTGTAAAACCTAACTTTATATTAAATATATGTTCAGAATGTTGTTATTGAACAGATCTGTCCAACTCTGTGTGAGTGACTAAACTCTCCTCCTGAGAGACTGCTGTATGAGCGCGTCGCTGCGTGCGCAGGCTGAGTCTTTCTGTGAGATTCACTGTTTGAGTTCTTCTAATTAAACCACATTAACTAACAGAACATTTGTTTGCCCCATATTAAAGCAAAGATGATTCTCTGTTTAACACCCCCGTCAAAAACATTACTGTATATATATTAAATAAATAAAAAACACTTGCCATGTTTTCTAGGTGAAAGAGTTTTAAATTTTATTTTAATTTGTCATAAAGATCTACAAATTTCATTCACAATTTTATAAAAAAACAAGGTTTTTGATGTGCTAAACCTTTTATATTTAGGACCATACAGCTTTTCTTGGATAAATGTAATTTATTGAATGATCAAATATGAAAAATTAATGATTACATAAGTTAAAACCATCTAAATAATATATCTTTTTGAAAAAAACAGTATTTTAAAAAAGAAATCAGTCTAACAAATAAAACATTTGTATGTTTTAAGTTATTTTGCTCTGTGTGAAAGACAAATATTTGCTGGTTGGTCTGGAGAGTGTGGAAAACTGGTTTAACCAAGGTTGAAGATGCTGAAGGTCAAACTACAGGAGTTGTCCATCTGAAGGACATATGTAGTCTAAAAGACATTTAACCATGAAATTTTCAGTTTGTGATGTTTATATGACATACACCCAGCCCCTCAGCCACTTAGGTAGTTTACAAAATTTRTKCAGAGTAAAAGAATAAAATAAAAACTTGGACTGATTTGGCATGATGTCCTGAGACGTTGCAGCTGATAGGAGTCACAAAACAGAGCAGGGGGACGTTAGATGCCCTGTGATGCCCCTCCAGATAAATGTGTTAAATGAGTGAAGGAAAACATGAGCACCAAGCAACAACCCTAGGTTCTCCCATGAGAACCAGACCAAAAATTTTATGTGCAACCCAGCTAATAATATAATTAATTTGAAACACAATACTAGAAGTCTACCTCATACCTGCCAACATTTGCTGACAGCATTGAGGAGTGTCTGTTCATGTTAAGGACTAAACCGTTCTGGGGGGGTCCAGGGGAACACCCCCCTGAACATTTAGCAAAAGATGGACTCAAATTGATAGAATTATTATTTTGTTATTTGCACAGTGAGCACCATGAGTTTGTCCGAGTGCATCAGATGATACATTTATCACAAAATATCCTCCGCACCATAACACTTCATATTGTAGCAAAACATCTGAGAAACCCACAGAACAAATTACCTTCATAAACCTGAGTAACCAGTGATTCTTTTTACATAAATCAACTAAACTCTGATTAAAACAAAGTTATAGAATTTTTTTTTCGTTCCTCGATTTGTGGCGACCCCTTGATGGACGGCGCCCTTAGCATTTGCCTAATCTGCCTGTGCCACAGGCCCTGTGCACAACTATTGATTACCTACCGTATGTTCTGCAAGTTTTGTTAAAATTGATCTAATTCTTCATGAGATATTTTGCTAACAGACAGACAAAGTAAACTCTAATAGTTAATGAGTAMGTTTTGAACAGGTGTGTTGGAAATCACTCTGAGCTACTGTACCACACAAAGTATTAGCTCAGAAGATGTAAAATTGACTGAGTTATTGCAGTTTTTGTTTGCTGGGGTTCATTAGCGCTGGCTAACTTGGCCAACTCTGTGTCTGTGGTGCCTCAGATTTCATAATCCCGTGAGGGTGGAGGAGAACATCTCATCACTTCCTGTTCTGAAACTTTCTTCCATTGTGCCTCTGCAGAGCAGCACAATGTGTCCTCAGTCCAACTCCCTTCCTGAACTCTGGACCGTCCAGCCTTGGTTTTCCTCTCTGCTGGTGTGGCCCGGGATCTTTACTGGAAAAGTCTCACTGAGTCATAAACTTACAGGGACAGTGACACAGGAAGCTAGGCTTCTTTCACCCCAAACCACACAAGGTGACATCACGCCTGCATCAGCAGTACCAGGGAATAGATGAGGTCACAGTCAACATTTTCTTATAAAGTAATAGTATGAGGATTTAAAAGAAATTTAACCTTGCTGCACAGGAAGTTAAATAAAGAAAGTTGTGTTCTTGCTTTTTAGGCTTTGTTTCTATCATCAAGCTATTTTTAGCAGCTAAACTTCACTGAAGAAAGAAATCAGCTATTAAAGCTCCACTTATAGTGGTCTAAATCTTAAGAAAACATTTTGTTTTGTTGGGGCTTAGTTGAATATTTCTCCAAASTGGTAAAGTGTCTAGAGTTTGTATTTAAACAGTTCTGCTCTTGTAGCCTGAAAATGATTCCAACGAAAAAACAAAATGCTGATTYTGATATAAACAATGCCGGTTTTATTAAAATACAGAACAAGAGGACAGAAACATAATCACATAAGTATTTAAAGGCTAATCTTTTTTTTATATTTTTAGATTATCAATATTAAAATAGTAAGTTGTTTGACAAGACAAGCTACCTCTTGGTTCTTTATTAACACTTTCACTAATGAAAGGTTTTGAACCAGACAATTTTTTTCTGTGTAAATTTAGGCTGGTAAAGTAGCCTATTTTAAAATATACTAAYTGCATGTGTGGTTTTTCTAGGTACATTGGTTTCATCCCACTGACCAAAAACTTGCATGTTAGGTCAAGTAGTAACTCTAAATTGTCTTTAACTTTAAAGTTAAGGTTGTAATATGTAACATTTAATGGATAGAAATGGATTTTTTTTGGTGTTTCTCTGAAATCCATGGTTTGCTGAGGGCACTAAGCAGCGTACAGCACTTAGCACCTAGCAAGATGGCAGCAAAAACACCTGGTTGGCCATTCCAGTGTTTTTATATTATATATTATACTGACATTGCTGCTGTATTTTACAGTATTTTTTTTTWATTTCGTTATACTATTTGGCCTTGGTCCGCCCTGTTTAAATGCAACAAATGCATTATTAATTGACTTGTGATGCTTAACTTGTTCCCTGCTCAACGGTTTTCTTTTTATATGCAAACATTTCATTAAAATCACATGAAATGGTGTAAACGCGTGAAAAAAAAAACGTTTATCGAATTGTAAAAAGAGCAATAAATTGCCTTGTGGTTAAACAAAGCGTAAAAATACTGTCTTAAAAAATGTTTGCGTGTGCACGCGTGCAGGCGTGCGTGTGTGTGTTTCGTCCTCGGCAGTGGGCGGGGCTTGACGTCGCCGCCCTGGTTGAAGGCGGGCGGAGCAGATCACGAAAGATGGAGCAGCGGAGGGACAGAGGAGGTAGAGGAGCAGCTTTGTCACGTCTCCTCTCTGAAACATCACGTCTACAGATCAGGAGCTACGTTTTATTCACGCGCATTTAGCCGTGAGCTCGCCGCCRCTGACAGCCGCGCGGCGCCTCTCACTTTTCCCGTCTGTCCGTGAACGCATCACCGGCTCTGCCTGTTTGTTTCAGTGGATGGAGAGAGGGTCCTGTTGAAAATAAAGGAAATACTCAGAGAAACACCTTTATCTGGGACTGCCAGGTCGCTCCTATAGCCGATATGGATGAAGACAATCACGGTAAGGATGTTCCATGGTTTTCTGCTTCTGTGTGTGGACGGATGGATGGATGGATGGATGGATGGATGGATGGATGGATGGATGGATGGATGGATCAAAGCACACCAACATGAGGTGCTCTTGAGCTTTTACAGACAAACCCAGAAAAACAACTAGACTGGATTTTACCTAATCTCTTTTTATAAAAATGGCAATAAAAAAAATAAATGTTCTCTTCCTGACAGCTTTTCATGCTCTCTATTTTAATGTGTGAGAGACTGCTCCATGTTCAGTAATGTAAAAATAATGTGGGGAAAAACATCTGTACCTGCACATTTCTCATCTGGCTAATGTTTCTCTGTAGAGCTTTGAAGTGTCTCACTATCTATGAAACCATATGGAGCCTGTAAACTGCTGGGAAAAGATAAGAAACTTGACTGGCAGGCTTGCCAGGATCTGTAGTTCTTAACTTCTGAACAAAATCTGTAAAAAAACAAAACAAAACAAAACAAAACAAAAAACTACAAAATAAAACTAAAGACAATGTGAATGTGAAAATGTGAAAACTGAAAATTCACTCACGGTGCTGGGATGAACTTCATACAGATTTTCTTGTACAAAAATAGTTTTTTTAGTTTGTTAAAAAAATATAAATAGACACACTGCAATAATTAAAAAATAATGATTAACTTCCTGTATTTAAAGGAAGTTAAATGAATATAAAATACTGAAACTTTGTCAATTAAATTCCAATGTTTAGGTAACACAAGTTGGTGAATTTGACCATTTACTGTGTCTTATATTACAATGCTCAAAAAAATAAAGGGAACACTTAAATAACGCACGCTAACTCCCGATCTTAATCAAAGAAATATTCGCATTGAGTACTTTGTTCTGTACAGAGTTGAATGTGCTTCACAAAAGTTTGATTCACTTGGACTTAGCGTGCGTTGTTTAAGTGTTCCCTTCATTTTTTTGAGCAGTGTATTAGTTCAGTAGTAAACATAACATGGTTAACTCATAAAATGTGACTTTTCTCGACATATAGCTAATTTGATTTTCAGGAAAGACGTAGTTATTTTCAGCAAACAATGCTAAATCCTATTTGTTTGCATACACTGTAAAAAATGAAATGTTGGATTTACTTAAACCATGTTATGTGACCTGGTTCCACTTAACTGAGTTGAGTAAATTCAAAGCAATACACCAGTTTTTTAACCAAAGAACATGAGCATGTTGCTTTGAATTTACTCAACTCAGTTAAGTGGAACCAGGTCACATAACATGGTTAAGTAAATCCAACATTTCATTTTTAGAGTGTATAAACACTGCTCTCAGGTTCAAACCAAACTATCTGCAGGCCAGAATAGTCACTGGTTTACTTTATCATGAAGCAAAGAGATATGAAAAGGGAGGACCACAACGCTGGAATCCATACAGCATGTAATATGGGGTGCATGTGAGCATGGTATTTTTGCAAAAAGATAAAATAAATCTCCATATAATATAAAGATGCTTCTTCTGAATAAATTTAATCTGACTGTCTCTGACTAGACATTGATTTTGAAAGAGCTGATTTGTCTAAAATTAATATAAACACTTTTAACATAGCTGAAATGCCATTTGACGTACAAGTRACTGCATTCTTCATTTCAAAAAGCTAAGTTTTTAGATGCAGTGTTGTAAAATTAAATCATAAATTTCTAAGCAAATACCTCAAAGAATCACCTAAAATAGATGAGAAGTCTTGCWTTTCTTAAAGGAATGCACATTGCTTGCCAACTTGCATGTTCATCTTACGTGATCTGGTGATGCTCCATATRTGATGGGAATGACTCTTAGCTACTACACAAAATTTAATCTCAGTTGCTATAACTTTGACAGAGTTATAGATTTATTTGCGTTTATAAATGAAAATGTCTCTTATTAGGCCTGGGAATGCCTTGGATTTCCCCCAGAAGAGCTGGAAGAGATATCTAGGCTTCCCTGCTCAAGCTGCTGCTCCCAAGACCCACAGCAGATACTGGATAGATGGATGAGTGCACCATCTAATATCAAGTTATTTCCAAAGAGTCAGTTCCAATTATTACTTTTTAAGGGTTTCATTACAATCTTCCCAGTAGTTCGTGAAACAGCCACACACAAGCATTAACATGATCGCCCACGTTTCATCTTGTGTGAGAACYGCACAAAAAAATGAGAACTAAAATATGCAGCTAATATTTGCTCATTATTCCTTTAAAAAATTTTTTTAGAAAGTGTAAAAATGACTTAGTGACCGCTTCATGGCCCCCCTATCAAAGCTGTTATTRTTTAAAAAAGGCTGAGTATTAGTCCAAGATTAAAATAAGATAAAGTAACTCTCAGTGTCTGCACAGATTAAAATCTCTTTATGCTGGTTATGACTACATCCAACAGGCTCGATTGTGGGATTTGATGCTAAAACAGGATAAAATTCAACCCGTGCAGCCACGTGTAACCCAGATCACTGCAGCTTTGTGTCGGTTGTTTGGTGATAACATCGGAAAACACACGTGCACAGTGTTTCTGTGCTGGTAACCCCAAATGTCTTGTGTGCCGAAGGCTGTGGAGGAAGTGTATTGCAAACAAACAGCTACAGGCTGATAAGAACCTGTCAGTTAAAGTGAGAGACTAACACAGCTCATCTGAACTTCCACTTTTTCTAAGAAAAAAAACCCAAAACAACAAAAAAAAAACCCCTCCACCTTCACGCTTAGCTCTAAATATTTATGGAAGTGAAATGATCCAGTCATTGAGGTCAAGCTTGAACAAGTGTTATCACGAGCGCAGCTGCCTCTATGAGACCGTTTAAACAGATACGGTTACCGAGTCATGTGACAGGAAGTCAGATCACCACAGGCTGCCCTGTCCATGTCGAGACAATTATTAACAGAACCTAACCGTAAATACAAAACCAGGGCTCACGCACACTCTCGCTGACTTCCACACATCACTTGACACTCAGTGATATGTTTGGATCCCAACACCATGCAGCACTTGATGCTAAATCTGTCTGCCAAACACTTACACCGCCTCAAATCAAAGCTTAACTGAGAAAAGTGCCAAGTGAGAAAAATCTCAGAGCAGGGCACTGTGCAGCATTTAAATAGTCAGTTTGTTTATTTTGAGTGTATAAAGAGATAAAACTACTTCACTTTAATGTAGTTTCACCTCAGACCGCAGACAGAAAAAAAAATGGTAAAGTCATTTTTCTGGGAATTTGAATTGGGGTGGGTGATGAATGTGGGAAATAGACCACAGGAGGCAAACTAAAAATAAATTTAACATCCACTGTAGAGGCTTTTATTCTATGAAGATGTGCAAATAGAAACAATTTTTAAAAACTTTATCACTTTTGCGTATAAGCTGACATGTTTATGTTAGATCTTTTATGTTCTGCAGGACTAAAATGACCTATTAGAACACGACCAGATTATTGCAGATTAGAGGCAACAAAAACTATCAGTGTGTATTTCATAATAACAGTGCTACACTCTTAGCCTGGCCTTCTTACACAGCTCCGCTCAACTCTAGTTTCCCTTCACTGCTCCCTCTGGGATTTCTCCCACAGACAAGGATTTCTTCAGGAGAATTTTCGTCCGGGCCAATCGGAGAACAGAAGGCGGAGTTTTGAATGATGTCGATTTTCTGCAGTGTCTGTTAGTTAGTTTAGCATACGGCAG